CAAAATGTCAGGCTAAGATTTCAGTATGAGCCAGAACAAAACCAAATGTGGCTACGTGATGTAAATAAGACACATTCATGATCAAAAGCATTTTTTTCTATTTCTGAACGAATCATTTTTCAGAATTTCAACTACAGTAAAATTCAACCGAGGACCCAGTTCAACTTATTCTGTCAACTTGTCAGCCTTCTAAATTTGAAAACCACATATAAAATAATTGTTTCCTTCGCATACCTGAAACGTCTTGTGCGCGACACAAACAAATTAAGGCACTTGACCGAGCTAAATTAGATGTGTTTTTACTGTAATTCCCTGCAAATTCCTTGCCTGGTATTATCCTTGTTGTGCGCCGACGAGGAAGTTCCAGACGAAGGGACCTCGCCCAATGTCGCCATCATCGAGCCACATGAACCTGTGGAGGAACGCGCCAGCTCTCCCTGCTGACGAGCTCTCCGGCGTGAGACCCGCACATCGAGAGCGAAGAAACGGTCCTTCTTGGTAGAGGAGCGAGGCATTTCCACGTCTCCTTCACAAAAACAAACCCAACCAAAAACCTCAATAAAAATCCCAAAAAACACAAAAAACTAACAAAAAAAATCAGAACTAAACTGCCAGTTGGCGTTCTAATCAACGCGTGCATCCGCAACGCTCCTCCTCCATTCTACACCCAAAAAACAAAACATCACATTTACATCCAAACATCAAATTTCTAGCGTTTCCTTTTTCTTCCCTGATGAATTGAAATTGAGAGAATCAAGGGACCTGAGGGTGAGCATCCGGTTGCTGGATCGACTCCGGAGTTGTGTTGGAGGTGGCGGGGTGAGGGAGGCCGGCCAACGACAGAGGAGGTTCAGTGAAGCGTAGGCTTTGAGCGGCGGTATAGATGGCGGAAGATAGAGAGAGGCGAAGGAGTTAGAAAAGCAGAATTTGGGGAGGGGGAGGGGGAGTGGGGTTCTTAATATATTGATTTTGGGCTTTGAAATTTTGTTGGGGGGGGGGGAAATTTCGATTTGGGGGGAAATTTTAATCGGTTAATTTTTTTAAATGAGCCAAATTATCCTAGACGGAAATTTCCGTCTAGGATGAGTATCCTAGACGGAAATTTCCGTCTAGAATAATTGGTTATTTATTAAAAAAATAAAAAATAAAAATACCGTCTAGAATATTATTCTAGACGGAAAATTCCGTCTAGAATACTTTATTCTAGACGGAATATTCTAGACGGAAAATTTCCGTCTAGTTTAATACATTCTAGACGGAAAAAATTCCGTCTAGAATGTTCCGTCTAGAATACTCGATTTTCTACTAGTGTTACTATCATAAGGAAAATAAGAGATGGAAGGATTTTATTCCGTGGGTTGAGTATTAGTACAATACTTCATTCTATTCGTCAATCCAGAAGAGTTTGTTCGAGGTAATACATAGATGGCTACCGCCTATTCTACAATCTTATGAGTTGAGGATGGCGAAGAACGATGAGGTGGAGTAGGAGTTATAGGCGAGGGATGATTTGCATGGTGTGAAGAAGGAGTTAGCTAAAGCCAGCAGTGGATGAAGAATTATTATGAGGAAGGGTGACATGATGTGACCTTTGAGCCTGGTGATTTAGTGTATTTGAAGCCACAACCATACCGACAGAGTTCCTTAAAGAAGAGGTTTAATGTGAAGTTATCACAATGATATTATAGGCTCATTAAAGTATTGCGGTGGATTGACGAGCTAGCATATAAGTTGGAGTTGCCCAGAGTCCTCTTTTTGCAACCAATTTTTCATGTATCTATGCTGAAAAGGAAAGTTGGAGAGGGTGGGGTGGGGGGCTTCGGGGTGGGGGGGCGTGAGGGGGTTCCAATTTTCTACGTGTGGATATTAATTTTTTCCTTATATTTGATTCAGGGGATAACATGTTATTAGTTCCTATGGATGTGATTCGTTATAGGAGTTGAATGAAGCGGCGCACTAGAGAGGGGTGTGGTGATTCGTTATAGGAGTTGAATGAAGCGGCGCACTAGAGAGGGGGTGTGGCAAGTGTTAAGAAATTGGAAGAACTTGACAAAGGACGAGACTACATGGGAGGACTATAATGAGCTCAAGGAGAGATTTTCCTAATCTTACACTTAAGGACAAGTATAGTCCCAAGAAGGCGGGAATGATATGATTCCATAGTGACCAGTGTGTAGAAGCAATCGTGCTTGACTATCGCACAATTACAAGAAGTTACATTCTAAGGTACCGTTTGGCAAAGGGTTAAGAGAGAGGTTAAGGAGACTTAACCCCTTCTTAACCTGCCAAACACAACAAATCTATATAAGGGTTAAAGTGAGTTAACCCTCCATAATTTGCCAAACATAAAAAATATAGAAGGGTTAAGTTAACCCCTCTAGAGGGGTTAAAATGAGTTAACCCCTCAAAATGAGGGGTTTACTAATACTCCTATTTAGATGGAATAAGAGTTAACCCTTCTAATTATAAAGAAAATAGTTAAAATCATTGTTATTCCCAAACACTAAAACTGATCATAAGGACTAAAATAAAACTTATTTAACGGGTTAATAATTTAGTCCTTCAGATTATCAAATGGGCTAAGTACATTAATCCTTCTCTTTAACCCCTCTTCATTAACCCTTTGCCAAACGAGGCCTAAAGGAATTTGAGTCCGAACAGGATTTGTTTTGATTATAAATAGAATTTATTTAGGAGTATGAATTTGTTTCCAAATATAACTTGTTTAGGAATAATATTGAAATGCTTATGAGTAAGGGGGTTTTGTGCAAAAAAAAGCCAAAACTGTGGCTATTTAGGCCGGCTATACATAAATTTTTTTTTGTGTGAAGAAAAACTTTGGAGAATTATCAATAAAATTAGGATTTATGGATAGGCTTATTTGCATAATTTTAGATTTGTTCTTGAAGTTCTTAGGTTACATATTTTGCTTTATTCGTCGATGCTTCCATAGAGGCTTAATACCACTTGATATATCAATGGTGCGAAATCAACTGGGGCTCTCATCACGTACATAATAAGAAGAAGTCTAACATGATCAAGATGGCAATGGAGACCCACAACATCAATGAACAAATGGGAAATGAGGATGTGAAGCCTTCTCAACAATAAACACAATTTAGACTGGTTGTAAATTATGTATTTTGGGTGGTAGATTTTCAGACGATGCTTTAGCTGTGGCGAAATCTTATTTTTGTTTACTTATATCATTATCAGAATGTCTTTTGTTATGCCTTGTTTTGTAGTGGGTGACGATCATGATATGCTCCTTATCCTCCAAGGCACGCTGAACTGATTACTTCATATGCTGTTATAAGTCTAAATGAATTTGGAGGACACTTTTAGCATCATAATTTGTAAATACTTTTGATTATTAATATATTTTATGAGTTGGGCACCTTGACTTGCTTTTTATTTCAAGAAAAAAGAAAAAAGGAAAAAAAGTTTGTTAGATCTTCTGCTAAATTTATGTCACGTGCTCAGCGTGTGATACTCCCGTCTAGGAATTCAATTTGTTTGGATACTTACTAGTAATTATATGAAAGGGATCTAGTGTATCACAAAAGGAGATGTACTTAATTGTAACTTAGCAGCATTCATGTATCAAAGTGTTAGAAAATTCTTTTTAGAAATCATCAAATTTAAAAAATGGGTAAATTTTAGGGGACCAAAATGAATTAACCGTACTTTATATGTATTATATTATCAATTGGAAGCCAGAAAGGGACTGTGGGATGATCTAAATAGCACCTGTCAAAGCATTGGCAATGCACCATGGCTTCTGTATGGTGATTTCAATGCCATGATAAGTTCAGAGGAAAAGTTGGGATGAGCTATTCTTACTGAAGCTGACACAGGTGATTTCTGCAATTTTATAGAAGTATGTGCTCTAAGTCATCTTAAAACTCAAGGTTGTTGCTTTACATGGAACAACAAGCAAAATGCTGATACTAGAGTATGGAGTAGACTGGATAGAGCTCTGGTAAATGATGCTTGGATTAATAATTTCAATTCTAGTCATGTTGATTTCATGATGCTTGGGATTTCAGACCATTCTCCTGCTATAGTTTCAGTATATGAGGATACTTTTTAAGGGAAAAAACCCTTCAAATTTTATAAAATGTGGATCAAACATGACAGTTATATTCCTACAGTCTCTAATATTTGGCATCAATCCATACAAGGATATTCAATGTTCTCTGTCTATACAAAGTTGAAAGTTCTTAGAGGAGCTCTGAAGGATCTCAACAAGAAGCACTTCAGTAATATAAGTGAACAAGTGCTTAGAGCAAAGAATGCTTTAGAGGAGGCTCAGAAAAATCTTCAAGTAAACCCTCTAAGTCATGATCTTATTAGACAAGAAAAAGAATGTTATTGTTCTTATCACAAGATCCTAGATTGTGAGTTGTCTTTCTACAAACAAAAAGCCAGAATTGCTTGGTGTGTGCAAGGGGATAGAAATAGCAGATTCTTTCATGATTTAGCCAAATCTAATAGGCACAATAATAGAGTTGTGGTCCTATACAATAACAGGGGGGACATGATCACTGATGGAGATGCTATTATGAAGGAATTAGTGTCATTTTACAAAAATCTTATGGGTACTGCAGTCAGCACTCATCCAGAAGATATGAATATAATTAAAGCTAGTCCTTGTCTCAGTGATTCTCAAATCAATATGCTATCAAATCCAATTACAGATAAGGGGATTAAATCTGCAATCTTCTCTATGTCTGAGGATAAATAACCAGGGCCTGATGGATACAGTGTTTCTTTCTTTAAATCTGCATGGAATATAGTTGGAGCTGAGGTTACTTTGACCATCAAAGATTTTTTTTTTCAAGACTGGAAAGCTCTTGGGGATTGCAAATTCAACTTCAATCACTCTTATACCAAAGGTACAATGCCCAAAAACCCCATCAGACTTTAGACCTATTTCTTGTTGCAATTGTATTTACATATTCATATCAAAAATAATTGCAAATAGAATAAAATCTGTAATGGGTAGCTTAGTGAATGAAGCACAGAGTGCTTTTGTACAAGGGAGGCAGATAACTAGCAACACTATGCTAGCTGAACTTGTTAAAAGCTACAGCATGAAACATATCTCCCCAAGAGCAATGATCAATATTGACATTAGGAAGGCTTTTGACTCTATAAGCTGGAGCTTCATTCAATCTGTTCTCACTGGCCTGGGTTTTCCTAAAGTTATGATTAATTGGATAATGGTCTGCATTACAACTCCTAAGTATTCTATCTCTTTCAATGGTGGTCTCCATGGATATTTCAAAGGGGAACGTGGGTTGAGGCAAGGAGATCCACTCTCTCCCTATCTCTTCATCCTGGGAATGGATTATCTGTCTAGGAGCTTGGCCACATTAAAGGAAGACAGAGCATTTAAGTTTCATCATAAATGCAAGAAACTCTAGATTTCTCATCTGATTTTTGCAGATGACTTACTATTATTTGCAAAAGGGGAAACTTATTCAGTACAAAAACTCTATCAGACCTTTAAATCATTTGGTGAAGTATCTGGATTAGAAGCAAATCCTGATAAATGCTCAATCTTCTATGGAGGAGTAGAGGACTCAGTTAAAGCGGAAATTGCAAATATACTTGGTTTTGCAGAGGGGTCAATTCCTATAAAGTATCTGGGAGTTCCTCTAATTACAAAAAGATTATCCTATAGTGACTGTTTCCCCCTGTTTGATAAGATCACAAGAAAACTTCAAAGATGGACTAAGCACAGGAAACTAACATATGCAGGCAGTTTTCAGATTATTAAAAGTGTGATCTTTGGAGTGCTTATCTATTGGACATCGAATTACATTTTACCTGTAAAAGTTCTTCGCAGGATAGATGAAATATGTAGGCATTTTCTGTGGGGAAAAGATGAACATACTTCCAGGATGTCTCTTGTAGCTTGGGAAAAAGCCTGCTTAGGGATGAAACAAAGTGGCATGGGGATTTTTTTAGCTCAAATCTGGAATACAGCTTCTGCTCTAAGAAGTATATGGTCCATACATTCGAATAAGGAATCTCTTTGGATTAAATGGATCCATGAAAATTATCTCAAACATGGAGATGTCTGGCAGATTGAAGCAAGATCAGGAGACTCGTGGATGTGGAAGCAATTACTTAGAATTAGAAACAAGGTGATGGCTGAATCAGGTGGAGCTAAAAATGTCAAGTCCCTAATCATGTCAAGTTGCAAGAATTCATCAAAGCCAAAATTGTCGACATTATACAAAAAATTGTCCCCAGTTACTAACTCTGTACCATGGCACAAAACTGTGTGGGGGGTGGTCTCAATGTGCCCAAACATGCTTTCATCAGCTGGCTAGCAATACATAATAGGCTTCTCACTCAAGATAGACTCCTGAAGAGAGGTATAATCAGAGCTAATCTGTGTTGTCTGTGCACGGGGACAAATATTGAGTCGAGAGACCATTTGTTCTTTGAATGCAATTTTTCCTCCTACATATGGAACTCAATCATGGACAGGATGAATTTCAAAAGGAAATCCTGTAACTGGTGTCAGATTTGGAGGTGGTTTTCAAGTTTGAGAGGTAAAGCTCTACAGATCAAGCTCAAAGGATTAGTTTTGACAGCTTCAATTTACTGTATATGGAGAGAGAGGAATGCAAGGCTGTTTACGCAGAAGATGAATAGTGCGGATCACTTGATCAATGTCATAAAGTTTGAAGCCTCTACCATCATTTATTACAATCCCCTCTAATTGGGATTGACAGGTTTTTTGAGGAGTGTATTTGTTTCTGTTTTGAGCTCTCATCAACAAATGTGCTGAGATTTTTCTTGAGGTGTACATAACTTCATATATGGTTGATGAATAAAAATTTTCATTTACCAAAAAAAAGAACTACAGTGTGAACAAATATCGAACATTAAGCTTGACTAAAATTGAAGAGATTTCACTCAAGCAAAATTGAAGAGTATGCGATATGAGAATATTGAAATGAAGTGTTTCTTCAGTTCACTCGTCTTAATTAATTAGATGATGAAATGAAGTGCCCTGCGAGATCAGATAAGAGGCTTTCTATTTGGAATCAAGAAAATTATATTTGAATTTGGATTAGATTCAACTTCTTACCACTTTAGGCAGCTGGCTAGAGGTACGTGGTAAAGTAGGAAAAGCTTTTGAAAGTCTAAGTTACTAGGTGTATAAGAAAATTGATTAGACAAATTAAGAACATTCCTTATAAACTGAGCTTTGCTTGAATTCCGAAATTTCTCGTGGAGCTTATTGTTCCCATGACTAATGACCAGCGAGCCATACTAAGCTAAATGGCTGTAAATGACCGAATTAGAGTTCAATTTTGATGCACTTGATGGGAAATCTCTCTTTACATGAGCTTAATTTCTTCATCCATGAACTTTGGACTTCGAATTGTCAATCACACATACATGTATATTTTCTTGTGTTTATCTTAATTAGTAGTATCTTAACAACTTGTTCAAGTCGATTAAGACTTTTGTAGGCTCCGATCCACAACAAAGAAGACCATCGATCCTCATGGCCTTGAATAAGGTTTTGAGTTAGAAACGTATTGTTTCACTTGAATGTATCAATACGTTAATTAAAAATCTTACGATTATTTGAGAAGGTTAATTAAAAAAACTTCGGGGTGTTTCCTGATGATCTCATTACCGTTTTAATTCCCATACCCTAAGAACTTCGATTGGTTTTACACATTTAACCTTTCAAAATTTCTTCTATTTCACTAAAACCCTTGAAGAATTTTTACTTTAACCTCCTGAAATAACACCGTCAAGTGTAATATTGTATCACCTTCCAAGCACGTGATTGAAAAAAAGGCTAAAATAGCTCACAACCCTAAAAAATCATCCTTTAATAAGTACCCTTTTATCCTTTTTAGCATATGATTGCAGAAGATCATAGCACGCGCGATGACGTGAATTTCTGATAGTTTCATGCGTGGATCATCCATTACGTACTGATGTGAGAAATCTGAACTTCAAAATTATGTGTACGTATGAGTTTCTAACTCTTTTTTCTTTGTTTCTGAAAGTAACATATATACATTCCATTTCCATATCCTTCTGAAAGTAACATACGTTATGAAAAAATTAACCTATAATTTGACGAATTATTATCAATCAAACACGGAGTTTATATCCCATTATTTTATTAGCAGCACGGGTGGGGGAAGGTGGGGTCCGGGTCCCCATCTTATATAGTGTACGAGTCTCTATCTATGCGACAAAGGAAAAAAGTTACGTCTCTTGTAGCGGATCCTCTCTCCAACTACAAGCATAATAAGTGAGATGCAACCTCCTCTAGCCTTTGGTATACGTTCACTTTTGCTAACTGTTGACAGATAGCGACTGAAGATGCGTAGAGAACCTGAGGCATATAACTTAAGCAGAAGCCAAAAAAAGACAGCCAATTTGGATCTAGAGGTGGGTGTGGGCTAATTTGAACCGTGGGCCGAACCGGCCTAGTCTGTCTTGGATCAAGGCCCGACCCGGTCTACCCAACTCGGCTCATGATATACCCGGTCCGTGGGTCGGGCTGGGCTCCACTCTAAACCCGTGGACAAAAAAGTAAGCACGGCCTATGTCCAACCCGTACCGGTCCAGATCAGCTTTATCCGCCTTAGGTGATAGACATTTTGATATAATTTTAGTAGTAACACAATTGAAAATTGAAACCTCTGAGTGTTTGAGTTGTAATTTTAGTAGTAGCAGAGATTTTCTAAGCTCTATTCAGTATTTTGATTAATATTTGAAATCATTTTTTATTTATTCAAATACTTAAATTATTGTGAATATTTTATCATTTGATATAATTCCATCACCAGTTGGAAATTTGTAGGGTTCAGACTTTCAGAAGATAAAATACAAGTTGTCCTCTCTAAACTATACCTACTAATATAGCAAAAAATTTGAAAAGAAAAATATTGAATGGAAAAAAGAGTAATGCCTGACTAACGATCCGAACTGCGTGGGCTGGGTTAGTGACGGCCCATCACCATGACGACTGGGGGCCGTGCGCTCGGTGTAGCCTCAGACCTAGGAACAAAGTCCTCAACCTCGCTCACTGAGGCCCACCCAGACCAGGCCTGAACCGGGTTGGACCCAAAACTGACGGCTGATTCATGGATCAAGTCTGACCTGACCCATGCCTACCCTATTTGGATCCTCTAGGCGTAAGGATAAATGTAGTAGATAATTGATTTTTATTTTTATTCTCATGGATTAATTATTTATATACACGTAACAAACATGCGCTGATATGCTAGATGTGACACCATCAACCACACCCCCTCTCTCATTTACTACAGTGCACCGGGCCCCATATGGGGTTTTAAATTTTTAAAATCCTATGTGAAGCCCGGTGCAATGTAGCAAATGAGAGAGGGAGTGTGGTTGAGGTCGTGGTTGGGGATATGCCCCTATCATTTTCCTTTCCATATCCCAACTTTATTTCTCTCTCTCTCTCTCTTGAATGGCAACCTTATTTCTCAAAATTAAATAACACTGTGATATGATAAATCTTGTATAATTCAGATGGGCACAAATTCAAGTTGAAGTTATTTTAATGGAATAATTAATAGTAAATTTCCTGCTTAAATTAAATTAGGAAAAAAATTATTTTTAAATAAAATTAGGGGGATTGACCTCTCCTTAATACTTTTTTTTTATCAACCATAAAAAATTAGTTTTCCTTCTTAACTATTCAATACAAAAGTATTAATTATTTTTACCCTCTCAAGATAGCTTAGATTAGTGTTACCCAAAAAACAAGAATATAGTTTAGATCAGCTAATTATTCTCTTTAACCCTTCTCTTTTAACCTCTTGCCGAGTCACACTACAGGATTTTGTAAATCGTAATAATATATAGAAAAAAAACTGATAATAATAAACACCGGAAATAAATTAAGATGTGTTTGAACAAATATAGAGCCGCTAATTTAAACATAGTTATTTAGTTCAGTACTATTGTCCTCAATAAAAATTAAAGGGATGCAAGAGTCACATGGATAATAGATGATGAAATTATGTCTGAAATTATTATCAATATTAGAGTGTTTTGTTACCCTCATTAAGAACTAACAGCATCTAAGTCCCAAATGAAAGGCCCATCCGCATTGTCTAGGGCCGTCTACAGTAAACCGCTCCACAGCATTCTTGCGTTTGATCAGAAGCAAATTGCACACGTGCCAACACACACACACACACGAATCGTTCAAACACGACATAAATGGAAACGACACAAGACCTTATGCCTGTCATCCCCCTCCTTCAATTCCTAATCCCAAATAATTAGTTATGCAGCACCGCAGGCACACTGGACCACTGCAGCTGCTACAACCTTCCTATATCTTCTTTATAAGCCAAGAAACATAACATTAACCCTCGTTATCTCCCCCAGCTTGATGGAGTTTCAACCAGGCCATGAAGCTCAGGACCTCAACCTTAACCTGTCCCTGCAGCCCTGGCCTCGTCCCGAGCACGCACGAGTTTTCTCGTGTAACTATTGCCGACGGACTTTTTACAGCGCCCAAGCTCTTGGAGGACACCAGAACGCACACAAGCTGGAGCGCAACCTAGCGAAGAGGAGCAGAGAGATGGCTAATGATTGAATTGATCTCGTAATGACACGTGCGAACTTGATGTTGCTTTGTAGCTTCTGAAACTAATGCATCTAGATTTACTAGCAACAGAGTTTCTTCCTGTCACATGTTTTCTTTTTGGGATCTTTTTCTTTTTTTATTTTCCCCCTTCAAAATAAGTTTTCCTGTTCGAAAAAGAATGCCTCTTCTCTCTTGCATCAACGGTATTTTCTTTCTTCACGTTTAATATACATGTACCCAATGATAGTTATCTTTTCTATTTGCAGATAACGAGTTTTCTCGTGTAACTATTGCCGACGGACTTTTTACAGCGCCCAAGCTCTTGGAGGACACCAGAACGCACACAAGCTGGAGCGCAGCCTAGCGAAGAGGAGCAGAGAGATGGATAATGTTATCCGACCGCGCTCAGCATCGAATGCGGACTGCGAGGGATCTGGTGACAGCTGGCTAAGTAATCCATCGGGGATGGAGAGGCGGAGGGAGGATTATTTGTGTGGTGTTGGGAGGTTTCAGCGGAGCTCGAGCCAGAGGAAAGAAGGGGCGGCTGCTAATGCGGTAGTGGGGATTTATAGAAGGTCTGATGCTAATGATAGAGATGCTAATGAAGTTGATTTATCATTAAGGCTATGAATTTGCGTGCCTTATTGGATTCTAGTTCTCTTAATTAGTTGCCCTCGATCGATTGCCATTAAAAAGGGGGGAAATGGTGAGTTGTTTCATTTT